TAGTTTATACCAACCTGGTTTTATCCTGTTGCAGCCTTTATACAGCAGTGATTTTCCTCTGCTTCCATGTAATTCTAGGGAGAACTCACACTCCCCACTCTGAACCTGTGTCTGTTAAGCCAAACATAAAACTCCTGGCTCGCTGGAGACGCTCAGTATTCCGTGTGCCATCCTGGGCCCTCCCCTTGGCACTGTTGGTGTGGCACTGGCAGATGTCCCTGGCTCTTATCACAGCTTATTAATAAAAATACATAATAATCACAGACTGCTGGGATGGTTTGGGTTGGAAGGGACCTCAGAGCCCATCCAGTCCCACCCACCTCCCACCATCCCAGGCTGCTCCAAGCCCCATCCAGCCTGGCCTTGGACACTTCCAGGGATGGGGCAGCCACAGCTGCTCTGGGCACCCTGTGCCAGTCCTGGTTCTCTGACCTGCTGTGAGAAATCCCACTTGTGTCCCTCACCACAGGTAGCCCCCCTTCCAGCAGCTCTGTAACATTTGCCCATTAACCTGGATCTTCCTGCACCAGTTTTATGTCTTTACTGTGAATTAAAGCATTTTCTCTGGTGCTGCATCCACAGCTTTGGGGCCCAGGGGAATGAGACCTGCCCTCCCTCCCCCAGCCAGGGAGGCAGGAATTAAAAGGACAGACCCCTCCTATTCTCTCCTGGCAAGGCAAGAGTGCCTTTTATACACCATAAATTACCCTGGTGGTTTGTTTGTTGTTTTTTTTTTTAATAAGTTTTCCATGGAGTTCCACTTTTTTGTCTGAGAGTTCCAGGTTTTGTGGAGTTCCTGGCCAAGCTCCTGCCTGGGTTTGCTCTCAAAGGCCAGAGAGGCTTCCCAGAGTGTCCTTTGGTGCTCAGTGAGGATGAAGATGCTGAGATCATCCCAAAGCTTTCCAGCCAGGAGTTTCCTTCATTCTTTGTCCTCCATCTCTCACAGTCAGGGAGGATTCACTGCTCAGCCTCCATTGCTTCATTCCTGACAGTCCACCTGGCTCCTCTGCCTCGTGATGTTCCCTGGTTTGACCCTGCCCTTCCCCAGCTGCTGCTCTCGGGGTCATTTTCAGCAATGCCATTTTTGCTGTTAAATACAGATTTAGTTGTTTTTCCTCTACCTTGCCAGCCGTGGCCTGACCTTCTGTCCTTGTGCCCAGTCCATCTCCCCCGTTATCCTATGGAATGATGATCTGTTCCCAGTTCCAAGGCAGAAACAATTTGCTCCCAGGACCGTGTTGTCCCCTCGTTATCTCTCCCTTGGTTCTCACTGTATTCTCATTATCTCCCCTTGGGGTTGCCCTTGATGAGCAGTGATGCAACATGGAGGCAGAACTATTACTTTTATTATTATTATTATTCATATTACCAGAAGAAAAACATCTCAGTATTTAGACCCAAACCCTGGGGTAAGGTCACCATTTTGGTGACGGGCTCTGCTACTTCAAGAAAATCTGATTTGTAGATAAATTCTGAAAGTCATTATGAAGTTCTTGTTGTCAGTTGCTTTTGTCCCTATCAAAGTTGAGCACAAGTTGATTTCCTTGATTTACAGGCAGGCTTCTTTTTATCTTCTATTTTATCTTCTTTTATCTTCTATTTTATGTCTTCTTTTATCTTCTATTTCATACTCTTTTCTACTGAAGACCAGGAGGAGCTGTGGTTGTTGAGTGTAGCTGGACAGGACCACCCCATGGGTGTGTTTTCCTCAGCCCAGGGTGAGCTTTGAGCTCTCACCTTGTAAACCCAGGAGTGACCTGGGGTTTGTGGCTTGCCCAGTCCCTGCCCCCGAAGCGGGACACACCGAGTGTGTGGAGTCACATCAAAGGGGCAGAAAGAAATCTCCATATCTTGCTTTTAACCCTTTTAGCACTTTCTGGGAAGCCTCCCTGGGTGCTGGGGTTTACCAGGAAGCATCAGGAGGGGTTTTATTTCTTTTCTGGGGCCTTATCTGTCACCTCACTGGAACCTCACAATATTGCAGTGGCAGTTGTGCAGTAGGGTGTGATTTTGTGCAGGTAACTTATGGGCTGATTGTTTCCTAATGACCCAGATGTTAATATACAATACAATTAATAGAATGAGAAGCAAGAAGGTTAATATCAATAATACAATAACAGGATGAAGCATTTGACTGAAGATCCTGGCAGCTGTAGGAGACCAGGAGAGGGTGTTCCCCACCCTTTTTCACTCATTTTATCATTATATATATATATATATAATATTTATCATATTTTATATATATCATATTTCTCCTATTTGTGATAGAAAGTAATTAGTTTTTTGTCCATTTTCTTGAGCATCTTTTATGAATTGTCTCAAGTCCTCATCTTGCAACAGTCTCTTTTTACCAGCATGAAATTCATCCTCGTGGGGGTAGGCTGTAACTCCTGAATTGGAATATAATTAGATTCCAAAAATTGGTAATAATTCAGATTGCATTTTATGATGTTAACAGAATTACAGACACAAACATTAGAGTCATTACTTGTATCTGCAGTGACATTATCTACAAGCACCCAATTTAAAAGAAGTTTTATAGAAGTGTGTTTTTTATTAATGTATACAAGCATCATTTTAAAGTTTTTATTAGGAGAAATTTTAATTTATCCTAATGATTTTAAACATTTTGTTTAGCGTCAAGACAGAAGTTTTGGACTGTGATGGCATTACCTTCACAAATAAATCGTTGTCATTCTCATACAGTACATATATTAACATCAGCAGTTTATTAATTAATATATTAAATATTAATATTTGAGAGCTTCTCAGGATATTGCATCCCACACATAAGGTTGTCAGGGATGGTGAGCAAGCTCTGTCACTGTGTCACTATTATTTTGCATCAACAGCTTGACTCACTTGGGAATTGAAGGTCCATTTTATCTGTTTATATGTATATATACATTATATGTTTAAACATATTTTATATGTTTAAAGGTGTATATTATGTTTAAACATATTTTATATGTTTAAACATATTTTATATGTTTAAATAAACATATTTTATATGTTTAAATGTGTATTTTAGAGTTGTGTCAATATTCATGCTTAAAAAAGAGGCATATATATTTTTTATTTTTTAGTGTAGTTTACAACAATGTGTAAGATTGTTGTGCATTTAGAGCATCATTTTTAATTTAACATCCCATCGAGATGATGTTTTTGTTAATTCCCCTGTGATGGTCCATTTCTGTTTGTAAAAAGTAGATGAAGTGTACTTAGAAAGACACATTTTTTATTTCTGACCACCCCATCACACATAAACTTTATAAAATTAAGCAATAGTTTTATACCTTGTTTCTGTTATAAACAAGATGCAAGCACAGGTTGTGTTAAACTTGTTTTTCCCCCTTTTTTTTCCAGTGGATAAATTGCTGTTACCACATTCTGTTAACAAGGATTGATTAGATAAGAGAAGGGAGATAAAAAGTATAAAAATATAAGTATTTTCTTTTTAAAAAAAATGGTTATAGGTTTTTTGTATTTTATTTGGAGGTCATATTTACATTCTGTAGTTGTCTTTCCTTTTGGTTAAGGAAGGAAGAAAAACAATTAGTTACCTGAGGAAGAACTGGAAAGGGTTAATACATATTTCTGTAACTTCAGATGTGCATCAATCTTGGTATCTGTTCCAAGTCATATTTGGTTGAATTTTAAATTTTTATTTGATTGGAATAAAGTTATGTTTTCATCAGGTAAAAGGTTTTTCCACACTGTTCTCTTATTTAGTAAAGAGAAAATAAACTTATTAAAATTTATACTAACAATACATAACATGGTTTGGTTTATATAAGTTAGTTAATAGTTGGTCTTTCAACAAGTGGTTCTCAATGAAAACCCAAACACATTACAAGAATTAATAAACTAATAATTTAAGTAATTTTTAGTTCATCCTACTATAAATCAATCATTAAAAAAAACCCAAAAAAATAATTTATGGAGTGTTGACTTGGTTTCTGTGCCTCTCACAGAATTAAACATTCAAGAGAAGTTCGCTGGCAGTCCCTTCACTGCACTGTCTGTGCTGGGGGTGTTGCATTCCCAGAGAGAGAGGAAAACTCTAACACAGGAAAACTTAAACAGTTCTTGTGGGTTTTTTAGCAGTTAACACCTCATTTCCCTGCAGCTCCTTTTGTTCCAGGGCTGCTGGGCAAGTGAAAACTCCAGGTTGTTCCCTTCCCTTCCCACGAGGTGGGAAACTGGAGTTGTCCTTTTTTCTGCTGTTTCCCTCTTACAGGATAACCATAACTTTAATACTCTGCTTCCTGGTTTCAAACCCACATATTGAACACCACCCATCAGTTTAGAAGCAGGGGAGTTTGTAGATTTTTGTGGTGCACAAAACACACTTTGCTGTTGGAATTGTAATTCCAGTTTCTCTGCATTTTCCTGCATTTTTGCCACCTCTGCTGGAGAGCAGGAATCACTGTGCAAAACAGCAACTCTGATTTTCATTAGAATTACAGTTTTCTATTGTTTTATCATAGCAAATATGTCCTTTCCAGATTCCCACATCTGGATGAGTTACTGACTTTTGGGGCTGTGTGACTCCAACAGGAGTTTTTTTCCAGCAGTAGTTGCTCTCTGGGGTTCGCAGGTGGAGTTTTAAGGTGGTCCCAGCATTTCAGAACTTTCCCTTTAGCTTTTTAAAGCATCTCAGTAAATCTGCATTTTTGCAGGAGAATATTCACGACACCCCACTTTCCTGGTGCAATTTTCTGTCCCCTTAAAAGGGGCAGAAAAGAAGAAGTTTCTGTCCACCCTGTATTAATTTACCAGCATCTGTCAGTATCCCCCAGGAGATCAGAGCCTGTTAATGTCCAAAACAGTCATCTCACCTTTGCTTAACAGATTCCCAGAGGACAGGACATCTGATTTGATCCTTCTATAAAGGACTGCACTGAACAGCAGTGGGAAACCCCCTCAGCAGGTTTTCCTGGGAGTTGTTTCGCCGTCAATTAAACTGTCAGCACCTAAAAACAGACCCACTCCAACAGTTCACGAAACAACACCTTTATTAATACAAATTTGTGACACTGAGTGGGGTTCACCGTGTCTGGAATAGGGTCTGACTGCAAAAAAAGCAGAGTTAATCTATGTAGCGATGATAATAATTACAATGCAAAGCGCAGGCTCACACCTAAAGCAAAAGCAACTTCCAGAGAGGCAGAACAACTTACACAGCATCAGCAAAGCAGAAAACTCAAGTACACACCATGAAGCAAAAACAACTGACAATGAAGTAATGAGTAAAAGTTCTGAAGTGCTGTGGAGCCAAAGTAAACTTGGTGTCTGTGTCTGGAGAATATCTCAGCCCAGGGCATCCAGGCGGGTCCCTCCGCAGCGTGGATGGAACTTCTCCAGGATTTCTGCTTGGGTCCAATCTCTTTTTATACCTTTTTCCTTAGGCAGTTTGAGTGGCTGTGGTCAGTAAACTAATTTTGGGGTGACAGACAGATGAAATAGGCCCAAGGGTCCAGTTATCTCCATTTCTTCCTTTTAATCCTTTTATCAATTTCTGGGAATGTGTCTCCAGGTGCTGGGGTTTTCCAGGAAACCATCAGGAGGGGTGTTTTCTTCTTTTATGTGGCCTTATCTATCACTTCACATATGGTCAGCTGGCTCTTCCTTGGAGCTGCTGCCAAAGGCATCACTGCATCAATCCCTTTAAATTGTCCTTCCCAAAGCTTTTGTCCCTACAAACACCCTCTTTTCGGGTGCATTTTCCAGTCTTGTCTTTTGGCAGCTGTGACTTTTCCAGTGCCATACAGCCACTGGATATAGGTTCTAGAGGGAGTGCTCACAAAGACAAATCATCATTTAATAATTTCTGGGTTTGCTCTTTGTAGTTAATGTAGAAAAACTCTCCTCTGGAACCACCTTCCTGTGACCTGTGAGACTGCAGCCAGCAAGGACTGGTCTCTGTTCTTCACTTGGCCTCTCTAAATACACCTTTCCTGAGCAGATCCCACCAGTTCCTGTATCCCAAGGAGGGAATTGTCTCTTATGGACCAGCAGCTCCTCCTTTTCTGTCCAACAGCTGGTTCTGTCCCTGACCCTTCACACCAGGTCCTTGTGTCATCCCAAGCTGAGTTTTGCTTGAATCAGGGCTTGATAAGGATTCTGTCACTGGGGTAAGGGAAGTTTGGGAGCAAACACAGGTTCCAGTTCATACCAGTTACAGCTCTGTGGATTTCTGAAGCCCTGAGGTTCAGAAGTTCTGCTCTCCACACAAAGCAGGGCAGTTGGGAAGCCAGCACAGCCAGGTGAGACTCTGAATCCTTGGCACGGTTTGGGGACTCTGGGCACCTCGGGGGATCCACTTTGGGAGGGCTGGTTGGGATTCCTGTAGCACATCCCCTTCTGTGTGTGCAGAGGGGTTTGAGGACTTGGAAGAGGAATTCCAGGGAGACAGACTCTGCTGAGCGGAGAATGTGCGAGTGGGAATTGTGTCGCTGAGGAGGGGCGGGCAGTGAGAGCTGTGTGGGCAGGCAGCACCCAGAGGAGTGAGGATGGAATTCTGGAGCCTGTGCACAGTTCCAGGGAGATCCAGGCTCCTGGCCCTCAGCTGTGAGGAAGAGGAGCAGCGACACAGTGAGGAAGGTCCCTGACATGTCCATCTTGGCAGCTTTGCCTTTCCTTGGGGAGAGTTAAACACACGCAGGGCAGTTTGGGTCCCACTCGCCGTGTTTGCCTTTCAGTTCTGGAGTCAGGAGCTTGGAGGAGCTTTGCCTGCAGGTCACAGATCTCCTGCCTGGCCTCAAGAAGCTGCGGAACCTGCTCCCAGAGCACGGCTGCCTGCTGCTGTCCCCGGGGAACTTCTGGCAGAACGACCGGGAGCGCTTCAATGCCGACCCAGACATCTTCAAAACCATCCACCAGCATGAGCCAAAGACCTTGCAGACGTCAGCCACCCTCAAAGGTGAGGTGCTGCAGTGCCAGAGAAGCTGTGACAGTTGCCTACAGATTCCATTGTTATTCCATCCTCGCTAATTCCAGCATCTGGATCGCTCCAAGTACCAATTTGGGTGGCATTTTGTCACTCACAGCAGCTGAAAGGAAGCTGCCCAATCTGTGACAGCTCTTATTTTATATCTGTGTTTGAGCTCAGATTGTGGAAGATGAATAATTCACTCAGTCAGGCTTCTTTCTGCAGGTAAAAATAGCAGCTGCTTTGTTCCTCTCACTCCACCCTAGCTCCAGCCTGGCTTTTCCCTGTCACACTCCCCGTTGTCAGGATAAATGAACATTCATCCTGCTCCCCTGGGCCTTCCCTGATGGTTCCCTGCACACAGCTTGAGCTGACAGTGGAGATCAGAAATGTATTTTTCTCTCTTAATTTAAAAAAACCCCACCTCTGATCATTAATGGTTCCGTAATGCCAGAGGAGATGGTGTATTAAATGCTGTTTCAATTCTTTGGTTTTAAAGGAACTTTGTACCTGTCAGGAAGTGTAAAAGGTATAATGGGACATGTCTGAGAAGGGGGTTGTAACCCTGAAGTAAGTTTGCTTTAAAGGTTATTTTTGAGCATCCAGAGCGTGAGCACACTGAGGATGGAGCACATGGAGCCTGTGGGGGAGCTCATTTGCAAATGAAATAGAGGGAGAATCATGGAATCAGAGAATTATTTGGGCTGGAAAAGCCCTCTGAGACCATCAGGTCCAACCATTCCCCAGCACTGCCAAGGCCACCACTGGCCATGTCCCCAAGTGCCACATCCACAGGGCTTTGCAATCCCTCCAGGGATGTGACTGCACCCCTGCCCAGCCCCTCACATGTCCTGTACCCAGGGACCCCAGAACTGCCCCAGGACTGCAGCCAGGACTGCAGCCAGGACTGCAGCCTCAGAGTGCCCACACAGTCTCTGTGACGCCCCATCCCCACTCCCTGCTGTTCCCCCCATCCATCGGTCTCACCGCAGCTCCAGGAGGTGCTTCCGTAAGAGCAGCTGCTGCTGCTCTCCAGCAGGAACCCCTGTGTGCCCTCTGCTCCGTGTGTCCCGCTGTCCCTGATGTCCTGTGCCCTCCGCGTGTCCCGCTGTCCCTGATGTCCTGTGCCCTCTGCTCCGTGTGTCCCGCTGTCCCTGATGTCCTGTGCCCTCTGCTCCGCGTGTCCCGCTGTCCCTGACGTCCTGTGCCCTCTGCTCCGTGTGTCCCGCTGTCCCTGATGTCCTGTGCCCTCTGCTCCGTGTGTCCCGCTGTCCCTGATGTCCTGTGCCCTCTGCTCCGTGTGTCCCGCTGTCCCTGATGTCCTGTGCCCTCTGCTCCGTGTGTCCCGCTGTCCCTGATGTCCTGTGCCCTGTCCTTGCAGACCTGCTGTTCGGGCTGCCGGGGAGGTACAGCGGGGTCAGCCTGTCCAACCGGAGGCGCGTGGTGTCCTACACCATCACCCTGGGGCTGCGGCGCTACGACTCCAGGTGAGCCACCAGCTGCTGCTCCGGGGAATGTGCTCTGTCCTTCACCAGCCCCTGCCGTGTTTCCCTGTAATCTCCGTTTTCCTGCGGTTTGGAGCACTTTGGATCCTCCCAAGGAGCTGTTTTGGAGAGCAAACTCGCTGTGTTTTAAGGAAACAAAATACCATCAGTTCTCAGCTCCTCATTAAAAATGTTACCTGTAACGTCCCGAGAGGCCACTGGGAATTCCTGTGGCATCCAGGGCCCAGTGGGGCTGGTTTGACCCGGTTCCCTCTTCACAGACTGGTTTGCTTCCCAGTTAAACACTGGTTCCACTGGTGGAAGTGCTTTGGCAAAGCCGGCATGGATCGAGTGGATCTGAGGACTCAGTGCTGCACAGAATTCCCCAGGGGATGCCTGGGATGGAATTGGCAGCACAGGAGTCCAAACCTGCTGTGCAGGACCCCACAGCTCCCAGGGCTGTCATGTGGCACCTTTCCCAGCCAGTTTTGCACCAAATTCTGTGATTCTGTGGAAATTCTGGGGGTGTTTGGGAACACGGTGTGTCCTGTTCCCCAGGGCCCAGATTTTGGTTGATGAGCCTTTGCTGTAAATAGATTTGGAGAGTCTGAACAGCAGATCTTGGTAGGAAACAAGGTCTGTGAGGTTTGGGCCACCGAGGAACAGCCTTGGGAGTGAGACTGGAGAGAACCATGCCCTGCTGGTCCGAGTGAACCTGTGGAGCTGCCTCCTGCTGGGCTGTAGGAATTGTGTGTGGATTTTGGGAGCCACGTGAGGGACCTGCTCCTGCTGCTCTCCCCACAGGTTCCTGAGCAGCCTCCGCTCCCGCCTGAAGCTGCTGCACCCCAGCCCCAACTGCTCCCTGCGGGAGGACAGCGTGGTGCACGTGCACTTCAAGGAGGAGATCGGCATCGCCGAGCTCATCCCGCTCGTCACCACCTACATCATCCTCTTCGCCTACATCTACTTCTCCACACGTAGGTTGGGGGCCTTTCAGGCTGGGGGCCACGTGGACACCTCCTGGCTGCACGTGGGGTCGGGGCTGCAGGGCCCCCTGAGAGGCTCCAGTCTAGAGCACTGTGACTCCTGCCCGTCTCAGCAGCAGGGGTGCTGCTGGAATGTTACCCTGACCTGTCCTGGACACGGTTAATAGTCCTTTTGATCTGGTTGCTGCTGATTTGTCCCCTTAGCCAGTGGGGGATTATTCCCTGTGATGCACCTCCCTGTCCTGGAAGTGTTGTGGTCTAGTGGAAGGTGTCCCTGCCCATTGCAAGGGGTTGGAACAAGATAATCCTGCGATCCCTTCCCACCCAAGCTATTCCATGCTTCTGGGATAACTTCTGAGGTGTTTTCTGTCTTAGGCAGCTTTAAATGCCATAGGAATGCTTTTTGCCTCCAGATTATTCCATCCATTATCAGACAGGTCAGACCTCCCTGGCCACATTTCAGTTCCCTTTTTCACCCCTCAGTGCTGTGCTGGGATCAGTCTGAGCTGTGAACCAGCACTGTCCTGTGTCCCACCCCTGCACTGGGAGGCTCTGGGAGCTGCACCTCAGGCACTGACACTGAACTGTCTCCCCTTGGGCTGTGGGGTGCTGGGTTACCTCCTGAAGTCGGTCAGGACGAGGGTGCCTTCTCTGTGTGGGTGCCCCGGGCTGTTCCCTGGTAACCCTGCTGTGTTTTCCAGGGAAGATCGACATGGTGAAGTCCAAGTGGGGCCTGGCCCTGGCTGCGGTGGTGACAGTGCTCAGCTCCCTGCTCATGTCCGTGGGGCTCTGCACCCTGTTCGGCCTCACCCCCACGCTCAATGGAGGGTAGGTCCAGCCCTGTTCCTGGGGGATGCACAGGGGATCCCGTGAGAGCAGCTGCTCAGCACTGCTGGGCTCTTCAGGGATGAAGGGGATGTGGCCAGAGCCCAGTCCTGGAGATTCCTCACTGCTGAGCAGTTGGCTCTGTGTGCCTAAAGCAGGAGGAGTGTTGGGAGAACAGGTTTGGGTTATCTGTGCACAAAGCACGTGCACAGCTGGGGTTGTGCTGGTGCTGTGGCTGGAGCAGAGCTCCACCACCGCCCAGCTGAGAAGTCCCTTCACGTGTCTCTTCACTGCCCAGAGTGGGATCACTCAGAGCACCCCGGGCTGGAACTTCGGCCCAGGGGGTGTCCAAACCAGGCCCTGCCCCTGCTCCTCACCTGGGAATCCCAGTTGGAGAGCTGTGTTTGTGGTGGAGCTGAGCTGGGGTTTGGCAGATGATCCCTGTGGAGGTGGGGCACGCTCCCAACCCCCTCCCTGATGACTGATTACCCCCAGGTCACTGCAGTGTTCCAGGTCCTCACCTCGACTCAGGGTGTGTCTGCTGCTGCTCCCGCCTCTTTCCTCTTTTTCCCTGTGGATCTCCTCCTCAGCTCCGCTTCTGTTCCTGCAGGGAGATCTTCCCGTACCTGGTGGTGGTGATTGGCCTGGAGAACGTGCTGGTCCTCACCAAGTCCGTCGTCTCCACGCCCGTGGACCTGGAGGTGAAGCTCCGCATCGCCCAAGGTGGGGCCCCTGCTCTGGGAGACTCCAGGGAGGGAAAACCGGGGAATCCCAAAGACTGGGAGAGGGGGAGAGGTCTGATTCCAGTCTGTGGAGGAAAACAATGTGAATTGTCATCTTTTTGTCCTGTTTTTAATTCCAAGAAGATTTTTTTTGTTGTTGTTTTTAGTTCCCTGTCATTGTGGTGGGCACTGCTTTTTGGGGTTGTGGACTGAAACATGGCTAAATAAGTTTAAAAAAAGATTAGGAAGGAAGAGCTGGATCTCCTGGTGTAATACTGACCACCTTGTCCTCATGATACCCTGAGTGCAGTCCACAGGTGGTACAGAATTCTCCTCAGCTGTGACAAAATTATCTTTTCTACTCTCTAAACACTCTGAGCCTGAGTGAGGTTTTGTGTGTGCCCAAACCATGGATAAACAGAGTTTGCAAACTTCAGAGCTGTTTCTAACCATCAGGGAGGAGAGATCCCAGAGTGGTACCCAGAAACATCTATATCTAGTTTTAACAATAACAAAACACAAGGGTGTTTTGCATCCCAGGTGGAAAACAAGCCCTAAAACCTCAATGGGCCTTTGCACTCTGGAATTTTAGCCTGAAAGGCCCTTTTTGCCTGTTGTCTGTGGTTCTGCAGAAGGGAAGTGCAGTTCCCTCTGCTGTGCTCGTGTCTGGCACCAGTGCAGAGGCTCCTTTGACCTGTCCTTACCTCTCCAGGGCTGAGCAACGAGAGCTGGTCCATCATGAAGAACATGGCCACGGAGCTGGGCATCATCCTCATCGGCTATTTCACCCTGGTCCCGGCCATCCAGGTGAGTGTGGGGAGCGGGACAGAGGCTCGAGGCACAGACTCATGGAATTGTTTAGCTTGGAAAAGCCTGAGACCACCGAGTCCAGCCAATCCCCAGCAGTGCTGAGGCCACCACTGACCCTGTCCCCAGGTGCCACATCCCGTCCCAGCTTCCTGTTCCCCTGTGCCACTGCCCTGTTCTGCTGGCAGTGTCCTGTTCCCCTGTCCCAGTGTCACCAGGGATGGTCCTGAGGCACACAGTCTGTGGCGAAAAAGAGCAAAGAATGAGAATCTGAACAAAATGAAAATTCCCAGCCCTAAACCCTCAGTCATTTTGGGGTTTGTCAGTAAAACACCCAGCTCTGGGCTCTGGGCAGGGGTTTGCTGAGCTCCCTTATTCCGAGGCTGAAGTCAGAGCTGATCCATGCCTCCCATCCACAGGAGTTCTGCCTCTTTGCCGTGGTTGGCCTGGTGTCTGACTTCTTCCTGCAGATGTTCTTCTTCACCACGGTGCTGTCCATCGACATCCGACGGATGGAGGTGGGCAAGGGGCGTGGGGCCAGCCTGGGCTTTCCTTCCCTGCTGTGCTGGGGGACTGAAGGGAGCACAGCCTAGGATTTTCACTCCAAAATAGAAAAAAAACATAGAGGATCATGGAATCATGAAGGTTGGAAAAGATCTTTAAGATCATAAAGTCAAACCACCGACAGCACCACCACCGTGGTCACCACTGACCCTTGTCCCCAGGTGCCACATCCACGTGGCTTGTAAATCCCCCCAGGGGTGGGCACTCCAGCCTGTGCCAGGGCTGGACAGCCCTTTGCAGGAAGACATTTTCCTGATAGTTCATTTAAACCTCTCCTGGCACAACCTGAGGCCGTGCCTTCTGCTCCTGAGGGCCCGAGGCGTTAACGGTGCAGGGCTGTGCTCGCTCAGTGACACACACAGGGACTGGGGACAGGACACCTGAGGGAATGAGGCACCCTCAGCAAGGACGTGGAGCTGCTGCAGACAGTCCAGAGGAGGCACCAAGAGGATCAGAGGGCTGGAGCAGCTCTGCTGGGAGGAAAGGCTGGGAGAGTTGGGATTGTTCAGCCTGGAGAGGAGAAGCTTTGGGATAACCAAATTGTGGCCTTCCAGGACATGGAAAAGCTACAGGAAAGATGGAGAGAGACTATTAACAGGGGCCTGGAGTGCCAGGACAAGGGGGAATGGCTTCAAACTGACAAAGAACAGGGTTAGATGGGATATTGGGAAGGAATTCCTGGCTAGGAGAGTTGGGAGGCCCTGGCACAGGTTGCCCAGAGCAGCTGTGGCTGCTCCATCCCTGGAAGTGTCAGGTTGGACGGGGCTTGGAGCAACCCGGGACAGTGGAAGGTGTCCCTGCCCGTGGCAGGGGGTGGGACTGGATGGGCTTTGAGGTCCCTTCCAACCCAAAGCATTCCATGATTCCACAGTTCTGTGCAGGTGTGCTGATTTGGGGTGAATGGGCTGGAAGGAGCCATGGCTGGGGTGAGAATTTGAGCTGGGCCATTTCCCTCGAGGACCTGGCCGGGGTTCCCTCCCCTCACTGTGCCCTCTGTCCCCAGCTGGCCGACCTGAACCGCCGGGTGCCCCCGGAGTCCATCCTGCCCCCGGGGAAGCCGCCGTGCCGCTCCCGGGCGCCGGCGGCGCGGCCAGCGAGCGCGGCGAGCCCGCACACCATCACCCTGCAGCCCTCGTCCCTGCGCAACCTGCGCCTGCCCAAGCGCCTCCGCGTCATCTACTTCTTCGCCCGCACCCGCCTGGCCCAGCGCCTCATCATGGTACGGCCCCACAGCCGGGCATCCCGCCTTCCCCAGTCCTGCATCCTCTGCGAGCCTCGTGCTGCCCCACGGGGAACGGGAAATCCCCCGCCGGGGAGCCGTGGATCGGCACCCACAGGGAACATAAAATCCCCCGCCGGGGAGCCGCAGATCGGCACCCACAGGGAGCATAAAATCCACCCCTGGGGAGCCGTGGGTTGGCACCCACGGGGAACATAAAATCCACCCCTGGGGAGCCGTGGATCGGCACCCATGGGGAACGGAAAATCCCCGCCCGGGAGCCGTGGATCGGCACCCACGGGGAACATAAAATCCACCCCCGGGGAGCCGTGGGTTGGCACCCACGGGGAACATAAAATCCACCCCTGGGGAGCCGTGGGTTAGCACCCACGGGGAACATAAAATCCACCCCTGGGGAGCCGTGGATCAGCACCCACGGGGGCCGGGCTGGGGGCACTGAGGGGGTGTCTCTGCTCGTCCTGCGCAGGCTGGGACGGTGATCTGGATCGGGATCCTGGTGTACACCGACCCCGCCGGCCTCCGCACCTACCTCACGTCACAGGTGACGGAGCAGAGCCCGCTGGGAGAGGCGGGGCTGCCCCCCATGCCCGTGCCAGGGGGAGTCCTGCCCGCCGGGGACCCCAAGATCGACCTGTCGGTGTTCCCGTCGGAGCCCCTGCAGCTGTCGGAGAACCAGACGCAGCAGCGGGAGCAGCAGCTGGAGCACAGCCAGCCCCCCTGGGCCCAGGGCACGGAGGGCAGAGGCAACGGGCAGGGGGAGCTGGGCACGGAGGCAGAGGTGACCTGGGGAGCGGAGGACGAGGAGATCTGGAGGAAGCTTTCCTTCAGGCACTGGCCAGCCCTCTTCAGCTACTACAACATCACCCTGGCCAAGAGGCAAGTGGGCTGCAATGCTGTGGGCACTGGGATTGGGGGATCAACCCCCAGGGGTTGGTCTGTCTTCTGTCCTTCATCCTCCTGGGTCAGAACCTGGTTCCTCGGGGCTCGCTCCAAGTGTGTTCGGGAGGAGCTGCTGAGCAGGTCCCGCGTGGGCAGAGCTCCCAAACTCCAGGGCTCTTCCTCTGGGAATCAGGGTCCTTTCTCTGTGCTCTCGGGTGCTTTACATGCCTGGTGTCTTCCTGGACCCTGGAGGTGAAGTTTAGAATTTTGTAAAACAGTAAGAGGAGGCTCAGGGGAAACTTCTCACTCCTGACAGGAGTGGGGAGCCGGGGGGGGGGGTCGGGCTCTGCTCCCAGGGAACAGGGACAGGAGGAGAGGAAACAGCCTCAAGCTGTGCCAGGGGAGGGGCAGGCGGGACATCAGGAAGAATTTCTCCATGGAAAGCGTGGTCAGGCATTGGGAGGGGCTGCCCAGAGAGGTGGTGGAGTCCCCATCCCTGGAGGGCTTTCAAAGCCCTGTGGATGTGGCACTTGGGGACATGGTCAGTGGTGGCCTTGGGGGAGTGGTTGGACTCGATGCTCTCAGAGGCTTTTCCAACCTCAGTGATCCTGTGATTCCATAATCTGATCACCTGTAAGTGGTGGGGATGGTACATGTGAGGAGGAGACATCTGAGCTGAAGAACCTTCTTGAAGAGATCTTCTGGTCTGCAGCACACAGCAAACTGCACCAGATCGTTGTATCCTTGCTTAAATCCATGGGATCCATTTGATCTCATCAGGAGTTCATTCCACTGTTGGCTCTTTGAAGGGTTAAGACCTGGGAAATACTTTAGAGAAGAATATTTCCAAGGAGATCTTTAGTGTAGAACCCCTGGAGTTCCTGACCGAAAGCACCCAAACCCTGCCCTGCTCACCTGGAGGGGTTCCTGCATCCCTGGTGTCTGTTCCTGAGCTGTTCTCCCCTCTCCCCCCTCCAGGTACATCAGCATCCTGCCAGCCATCCCTGTCACGCTGTACCTGAACCCACAGGAGGCCCTGGAGGTGCGACATCCCCAGGAGGCCTCGCGCTACCACCCCTTCCTGGCCTCCAGCAGAGGGGACCCGGACACTGGCGCTCAGCCCGACCACACAGCCAAGCTCCAGGGCCACCAGGATGTCACCCTTTACAAGTAAAATGTCCTTGTCACAGCCTTCTGACCCTCCTCAGCTCCAGGGCTGGTTTGGGCTGAGACCAAACCATGCCTGTAAAGCTTCCGAGCCAGAGCCCGGCGTGGCCGGGACACTCGTGCACAGTTCAATCAACCTCTCCTGGCAGGTTCCCATCGGCTGAGGGCAGGGATGGGATGGGCATCCAGGCTGTTTATCACTGGGTAGCAGGGACAGGAGATTGATTTTGGGTATGAATGCCATGGTTTCAGAGAATCCCAGACTGGTGTGGTTTGGAAGGGACCTTAACGCCCATCACATTCCAACCCCCTGTCCTGGGCAGGGGCACCTTCCACTATCCCAGGTTGCTCCAAGCCCTCTAACCTGGCCTTCAACACTTCCAGGGATGAGGCAGCCACCACCTGGATATCATTTGATTATGATTTATTGGGTGTTAGATCAAACTATGTGCAAGGACCTTCTTTCCCTCTGGAGAGGATGGCTCAGCTCCCTGCCTGAATCTGCAGGTGCTGAGCACACTCTGGATTATCCCAGTCCCCATCCAGTGTTTTCTTAGTTGCTCTCTACCTTCCTTACTGAAAAGCCTCAAAATCTAGTTGAAATTGTCATTTTCCCATCAAAACCCCCTTTAATTTGCAACAAATCTCTGTAATTTGCTGAAAACCTTTCTCAGCCGGGCCATTCAGAGCAGCACACGAGTGATCCTGGCACAGGGTTTTTCTCTCACCTTGTCCTTGTGTCTGCGTGTCCCCCAGGGTGGCTGCTCTGGGTCTGGCCTCGGGCATCATCCTGGTGCTGCTGCTCTTCTGCCTGTACCGGGTGTTCTGCCCCAAGAACTACGGGCAGAACGGGCACGGCCGCAGGAAGAGGGGGGACCTGCCCTGCGACGACTACGGATACTCCCCCCCCGAGACCGAGATCGTGCCCCTGGTCCTCAGGGGCCACCTCATGGTACGTCACATTGATGGCGAAATGTACTAGAAAAGGATATTGTAGCATGACATTTCCCACAGCACTCCCCACCTCCTGCTGGGACTGGCTCTGAGCTTCCTGCAGTTCCTGTCACTGCCCCGTTCAGCCTGGCCTTGGACACTGCCAGGGATGTCCCTGTTCTCAGCATCCCTCGGTTCCCAAACCAGCCAGTTCTGACATAAAATCCATCACCTCTGCATTCCCCAGCCACACCAGGCTGTGGTCAGGCTCCAGGGCCACCTCAGCTGTGCCTGTCCTTCCTTCCTTGGCAGGACATCGAGTGCCTGGCCAGTGATGGGATGCTCCTGGTCAGCTGCTGCCTGGTAGGGCAGATCCGCGTGTGGGACGCGCAGACGGGCGACTGCCTCACCGTCATCCCCAAACCCAGGTACAGCACGGAGCCCCCGCCACACCCTGCGTCCTCTGCTGCATCCTTGGGCTCCATCTGCTGCATCCTTGGGTTCCCTCTGCTGCTGCATCCTTGGGCTCCCTCTGCTGCATCCTTGGGCTCCATCTGCTGCATCCTTGGGCTCCCTCTGCTGCATCCTTGGGTTCCCTCTGCTGCTGCATCCTTGGGTTCCCTCTGCTGCTGCATCCTTGGGTTCCCTCTGCTGCTGCATCCTTGGGTTCCCTCTGCTGCATCCTTGGGTTCCCTCTGCTGCATCCTTGGGTTCCCTCTGCTGCTGCATCCTTGGGTTCCCTCTGCTGCTGCATCCTTGGGTTCCCTCTGCTGCTGCATCCTTGGGTTCCCTCTGCTGCTGCATCCTTGGGTTCCCTCTGCTGCTGCATCCTTGGGTTCCTTCTGCTGCATCCTTGGGTTCCCTCTGCTGCTGCATCCTTGGGCTCCATCTGCTGCATCCTTGGGCTCCATCTGCTGGGGCATCACCTCTGCTGCATCCTTGGGTTCCCTCTGCTGCTGCATCCTTGGGTTCCCTCTGCTGCTGCATCCTTGGGTTCCTCTGCTGCTGCATCCTTGGGTTCCCTCTGCTGCTGCATCCTTGGGTTCCCTCTGCTGCTGCATCCTTGGGTTCCCTCTGCTGCTGCATCCTTGGGTTCCCTCTGCTGCTGCATCCTTGGGTTCCCTCTGCTGCTGCATCCTTGGGTTCCCTCTGCTGGGGCATCACCTCTGCTGGATCCTTGGGTTCCATCTGCTGGATCCTTGGGTTCCATCTGCTGGATCCTTGGGTTCCCTCTGCTGCATCCTTGGGTTCCCTCTGCTGCGTCCTTGGGTTCCCTCTGCTGCGTCCTTGGGTTCCCTCTGCTGCGTCCTTGGGTTCCCTCTGCTGTGTCCTTGGGTTCCCTCTGCTGCTCCTTGGGTTTCCTCTGCTGCATCCTTGGGCTCCATCTGATGGGGGGGGCACCTCTGCTGTATCCTCGTGTCCCTCCACTGGGGGGGCACCTCTGCTCACATCCTCACATCCGTGCAGTCTGAGGGAGTGCCTCTGCTGGATCCTCAGATCCCGCTGCTGAGGAGGCAGCTCCGTGAGGAGCCCTGCAGCTCCGGGGCAGGGCTGAGCTCTGTCCCTCCTTTCAGGTTGCGGAGGGACAGCAGCGGCATCTTCGACTACCAGGAAGGCTGGGATCAGAGCCCGGACGGGAAGAGCGGGCTGGAGGACTCCTTTGAGAGCGGTCACCAGCTCAAGAGACTGCTGGGTCCCCCCCAGCCCCCCCTGTTCTGCGACCAGCCCGACCTCACGTCCCTCATCGACACCAACTTCTCGGAGCAGGTGAAGGCGGCCGAGTCGGAGCCGCGGCTGCGGGCCGTGGGCAGCCGCCACAAGGACACGGGCTACGACTTCAGCAGCCTGGTGGGGAAGGTGTACGAGGAGCACGGCAGCTCCGGCTGCAGGAGCACGACCTTCCCGGGGCTCCCGGCCCCGCACGGCCCCGCCGGGCTCTGCGGGAGCAGCGGCCGCGCCCCGGGCTGCGGCTCTGACGACGGTGGGGGCGGTGGGGGCGGCCGCCGGCGCAGCCTCGGGGACCGGAGCATGGGGGACGAGTCCTGCACGGGCTGCGAGAAATCCTCGTCCCTGCCGGCCTGGGGAGGGGACCTGGAGAGCTCCATCTGGAGCCTCGACCTGCAGGGACACCTGATCGTGGCCGGCCGGAGCAACGGGAAACTGGAGGTGAGGAGAAGGGCTGGGGTGATGGGAAGGTGGAGGGGAGGGCAGGGACACGGGAACGGAAAGGTGGAGGGGAGGGCAGGGCTGGGGTGGTGGGAAGGTGGAGGGGAGGGCAGGGACATGGTAAGGGGAAGGTGGAGGGGAGGGCAGGGCTGGGGTGGTGGGAAGGTGGAGGGGAGGGCAGGGACACGGTAAGGGGAAGGTGGAGGGGAGGGCAGGGACACGGGAATGGGAGGGTGGAGGTCACACAGCTGCAGGGCACAGCCCAGGCAGCCGTTACCTGGTCACACTGCTCTGGGGGCACAGCCCAGGGAGCTGTCCTGGATCCCAGCCCCTTCCGTGCCCCTCGGGTCAGAGTGCCCACAGTGAGCCCTCCTTCCCCAGGTGTGGGATGCCATCGAGGGCACCCTCCGCAGCAGCAATGAGGAAGGACAGTCTGGAATCACGGCCCTCGTCTTCCTCAACAACAGGTAATTCCTTGGGCAGGGCTGGAGATCCCCAGGACCCAGCCCTGACCTCCACAGCAGCTCCAGGCTCAGCTGGGAAGTCTCTTCCTCAGAACCATGGAATGTCCTGAGTGGGATGGGACCCACAAGGATCATCCAGTCCCACCCCCTGGCCCTGCCCAGGACACCTCAGCAATCCCACCATCCCTCAGAGCATTGTCCAAACACTCCTGGAGCCTTAGGGCCGTGCCCACTGCCCTGGGGAGCCTGTTCAGTGCCCAACCACCCTCTGGGGGAAGAACCTTTTCCAGATAACTAACCTTATATCCAGCTGTATCCTTCCCTGTGTCCACCTCTCACCAGCTTTCCTGGCTCCAGCTCTGCTCCAGCAGCCACTTCTTCATTCTTCAGTCTCCCCAGTAGCAGAATATCCAGAAGGTGTCAGGGCTGGGAGACCTTTGTGTCCCTGGTTCCCGTGGCTGCCGTTGCAGAGGCGCTGCTGTGGGGCAGTTGGTTCTGTGATCTCCCAGCTCTGTGTGTGCAGTTCCTCCTGGGAGTGGGTGCTCCGTGCTCTGCCCACTCTGGGGGCTCGGAGGGGCCTCTCCTCAGCCCCCATTTCCCCTCAGGATCGTGGCTGCCCGGCTGAACGGCTCCTTGGATTTCTTCTCCCTGGAGACACACACGGCCCTGAACCACCTGCAGTTCCGAGGTGAGTGGGGGGAGTGTCTGCACTGCCCTGGGCTCCCCCCTCTTCCTCCTCCTGTTCCTCCTCAGAGCTGACTCTTGTCACACCCTCCTCAGCTTGAGCAGTAGGAGCACCCTGTGCTGGCAGGGGCTGAGGAGAGGTGAGGGGTTCTGGGGCAGTTCCCTGTGCAGGGAGTCCATCCCAGTGCTGGTTTTCCCCAAGGCAAAGGGCTGGAGGCTCCAGTGTGCTCCCAGGGGCTGCTCTGCCTTTACCTCCTTCCTCTCCCACTTATTTCTCTCAGTTTTCACTCATTCCCAGCCCAGGGCCTCAGCACAGCCACAGGTCAGGGGGGTTACTGCTTTGAGCACAGGGCTCCTTCAGTTCTGGAGTGGATGATTCAGATGGGAGGAAATTCCTCCCTGGGAGGGTGGGCAGGCCCTGGCACAGGTTGCCCAGAGCAGCTGTGACTGCTCCATCCCTGGAAGCGTTCCAGGCCAGGCTGGACGGGGCTTGGAGCAACCTGGGCTGGTGGAAGGTGTCCCTGCCCGTAGCAGGGGGTGGCACTGGATGGGCATTGTGGTCCCTTCCCACCCAAACCATTCTGGGATTCCCTGACCCTGCTGAGCCCCTCAGTGTGGCTGTTTGTGAGCCCTGAGCCGCTGCAGCTCCAGCCCAGGGGTTTGCTGGAGGAGCAGCTCCCAGTACCCTGAGCCCACACTCACCTGTCCGTGCAGGAGCCCCGGGCCGGAGCAGCGTGCCGTCATCGCCGGTGCTGGGCGGCGGGGCCGTGGTGCTGTGCCAGCTCACACACAGCGTGGCCTGTGCCCACCACAAGCCCATCACAGCGCTGAAGGCGGCGGCCGGGCGGCTCGTCACCGGCAGCCAGGACCACACGCTCAGGGTGAGAGCTGGGGATGGGGGCATGGCCCGGGGACAGCGGCTGTGGGGACACGGCTGAGCTGGGCTGGGCTCAGGGGGGCTGTGGGGACATGGCTGGGCTCGGGCTGTGGGGACACGGCTGGGCTCAGGGGCACAGCTGAGCTGTTCGTGCACAGGGAGGGGGAGGTTGGGGAGGGGTTTGGAGCCAACCCAGCACATTCCGGAAGCTCCGCGGGCTCTGTCCGTGCCTGGATGTGGCACCGGTGGAGTCGGAAGGACAGAGCCTGTGAGTGTCACCCTGAGCTGAGTGGGATCCCCGTGCCTTAGGGATGGGTGACTTCAGAGGATCATGGAATTACAGAGGTTGGAAAATGCCTCTGAGACCACTGAGTGCAACGCTCCCCCAGCACTGCCAAGGCCACCACTGACCCACAGCCCCAAGTGCCACATCCACAGGGCTTTGAAATCCCTCCAGGGATGGGGACCCCACCACTACCCTGGACAGCTGTGCCAGGGCTGGGCAGCCCTTTCCATGAAGGAATTTTCCCAGTATCCAACTTGAACCTCCCATTGAGGCCATTCCCTCTCCTCCTGTCCCTGTTCCCTGGGAGCAGAGCCCGACCCCCCCCCGGCTCCCCCCTCCTGTCAGGGATTGCAGAGCCAGAAGGTCCCCCCTGAGCCTCCTTTTCTCCAGGCTGAGCCCCCCCAGCTCCCTCAGCTGCTCCTGCTGCTCCAGCCCCTTCCCAGCTCCCTTCCCTTCCCTGCACACGCTCCAGCCCCTCCGTGTCCTGTAGTGCAGTCCCCAGAACTGCCCCCAGCACTGGAGGTGCCTCAGCAGTGCCCTGGGCCTGTGGCTACACTGTGGTGACACAAACCATGTGCTACTGCCCTCCTGCCCACCTGGGCCCAGGTGCAGCCACTGTCACCAGCACCCCCAGGGCCTTTTCCAGCTTTCCAGACACTGCCCAGCCCTGGAGCTGCAGGGGATTGCTGTGACCCAACACCAATGTCAGGGTCTGTGTTCCGGGGTGTCCCCTGTCCTCTCCCTGTCCCCTTCAGCCCTGCCTTGCCCTGTCACCTCCCAACACTGTGACCTACCCCTGCCCTGGCAGCACCATCCCGAGGCCTCTGGAATCTCTGCCAGGCTCTGGGTCTGCCGGGACAGGGATCAGGTGGGATCTGCTGGGTCATGGGGAGCTCAGGTGGCACCACCTGCAGCAGCTGCCCCGGAGCTCTCACCTGCCTGTCCTGCCCCAGGTGTTCCGGCTGGAGGACTCGTGCTGCCTCTTCACCCTGCAGGGCCACTCGGGAGCCATCACAGCCGTGTACATGGACCAGGTATAGGGGCTGGGTGTGGGGATCATCCCTGAGCCATCCCTGAGCCCACCCCTGAGCTACCAGCTCAGCCCCAGTGACTCACCTGGGCCCCTCCTGTTGGAGCAGGGACCCCCTGTTCCTGCACTCCAGGCCAGGGGGTGAGCAGGGCTGAAACGGGGCCTGAGCCCCTGAGGAGGGTCTGCCCCCACCCCCCAGAAAGAGGAGGGGGAGCCCCCTGTGCTGTCCAGCCCTGTGTAAATGAACTCAGGTGTTACCCCCCCCTCGGGGTCCTGACCTGGCCCGGTGTCCCTGCAGACCATGGTGCTGGCGAGTGGTGGCCAGGACGGGGCCATCTGCCTGTGGGACGTGCTGACGGGCAGCCGGGTGAGCCACATGTTCGCCCACCGCGGGGACGTCACCTCCCTGACCTGCACCACGTCCTGCGTCATCAGCAGCGGCCTGGACGACGTCATCAGCATCTGGGACCGCAGCTCGGGCACCAAACTGTACTCCATCCAGCAGGTGGGGCCTGGGGGCACTGGGGAGGGATAACCAGGGCATCGGGGAATTCTTGAGGTTGGAAAAACCCTCGGAGACCACAGAGTCCAACTCTTCCCCAGCACTGCCAAGGCCACCACTGATCATGTCCCCAAGTGCCACATCCACAGGGCTCTGAATTCCCTCCAGGGATGGGGACTCCACCCCTGCCCTGGGCAGCTGTGCCAGGGCTGGACAACCATTTCCAAGAAGGAATTTTCCCAGTACCCAACCTAAACCTTCCCGGGCACAACCTGAGGGCATTTCCTCTTGTCTTTGTCCCTTGTTCCCCAGGAGCAGAGCTCTGTCCTATTCCAAACCTGCAGGGCTCAGCTCTCCCCATCCCAAACCCAGGGCCCAACTCAATCCCATCCCAAACCCAGGGCCCAACTCGATCCCATCCCAAACCCAGGGCTCAGCTCTCCCCATCCCAAACCCAGGGCTCAGCTCTCCCATCCCAAACCCAGGGCTCAGCTCTCCCCATCCCAAACCCAGGGCCCAACTCAATCCCATGCCAAACCCAGGGCTCAGCTCTCCCCATCCCAAACCCAGGGCTGAGCTCTCCCCATCCCAAACCCAGGGCTCGGCTCTCTCCCCTTTCCAACCCTGCCTGTCCCCCACAGGAGCTGGGCTGTGGCGCCAGCCTGGGCGTCATCTCCGACAACGTGCTGGTGACGGGGGGCCAGGGCTGCGTGTCCTTCTGGGACATCGGCTACGGGGACCTGCTGCAGACCGTGTACCTGGGCAAGAGCAACGAGGCGCAGCCGGCGCGGCAGATCCTGGTGCTGGACAACGCCGCCATCGTCTGCAACTTCGGCAGCGAGCTCAGCCTGCTCTACGTGCCCTCGGTGCTCGAGAAGTTGGACTGAGCAGGAGCAGGGCCAGGCGGGACCGAGGGGGGCTCGGCCCGAGGGGACGGGACTGCAGCTCCATCGCTCCAGCTGTGCCTCAGGCACCTTCCCACCCGGCAGGGCCCCACCACCCTGCTCCTCTCCCTGTTCCAGCACCTTCCCTGTGGTCCCGGGGGCTCCTGGGCAGTGGGATGGTGCAGAGGGACACAGGGGGACACAGGGCAGGAGAGGGGAAGCAGTGATGGTGGTTCCTAGCACTGACCTGCCCAGGGCACGGAACAGCCCCTGGAGAGCCCCGGGGGCAGCGGGGAGAGGGCTGGGGCAAACCCCCCGGGCATGGCTCAGCCCCCACGTGCCTTAGGGTGTGGCAGGGCCCCCAGCCCCGCCCTGGCTGCAGCAGCCCCGCCCTATTTATTTATACGCTGTAAATAGTTAGTTATTATTTATTGGGGCAGGGGGGCACGGGCGCCAGCACCCCCCTCACCCTGGCACAGCCGCCCTGCCTGGTCCCTCCTGCGCCCCATTTGCAGCAATAGCACCTTCCTCCTCCTCCTCCTCCTCTTCCTCCTCCTTCTCCTCCCACTGCAGGGCCAGAGGAGGCTTTTCTCAGGTTGGGAGGGACGGGAGCCTCGCCCACCCTCCTGCAGGTGCTGGGGAGGGACCCCTGGGCAGGGGGGCACCTGAAGGACACCTGAGTGGGACCAACCACGGGCAGGCACCACCCTGGGCACGGGGCTGCCCCCAGAGCCCCCCACCCACCCCGGGCTGAGGGCTGCGCTCCCCTGCCCCACTGCACTACAGGCCCCGCTGCAGCCCCTCCCCAGGCCAGGGGTCCTCACCCGTCCTGCTGTGCCCCCCAACGCCGATGACGCCTATTCTTGACCCCCGGTGATTGTAGAGGTGGTGCCGGCCCAGCCCCGGGGGCCCTGCAGCCCCGGGGGGCCCCCCAGGCCGGCCCCCGTGGGTGGCCTTCGCCCAGCTGTACCTTTGTGCTGTACAGGGGACGCTTTTTGTACCGACCGTGTTTTATAACGTGTGCGAGAACGCCCATTAAACGGAACTAACCCGAGCCTGGCTGAGCCCCTGGGGTGCTGACCCCCCCCGGGGGCAGTGACACCCCCCCTGGGGCACTGACCCCCCCGGGCACAGCCCCCGCCCGCAGCAGCACCAGGGCCCAGCCGATAAACTCGCTTTATTTTAGTAGCAAAGAGCTGAAAAAGTCAGTTCTACCTGGAGTCAAAGTGGGGCTGGGGGGGGGCCGGGGGGCCCCCACCCCCCTCACGCCTTGTTGAGTGTCCAGAGGGGGTCGAGCATGCTGAGGGGGTCGTCGCTGGGCCGGGGTCCGCGGAGCCCCTCGCCCGGCTGCGCCTGCAGGAAGTTCTGCTTGTTCATGCGCTGCTTGCCCTTCAGGGAGGCGTCCAGGCTGAAGGCCTCGGGCGTGAGCGACGCCAGCAGCTCCAGCGAGGAGGAGGAGGAGGCAGGGAGGGCGGCGGGGGGCTCTGGCGGCCCCCCCGGCCCCTCGGGGCTCTCCCCCACGTGGTTGCTGCTCTCGGTGTCACCCTGTGCCTCGGGGAGGGGTGGCCCTGGGGCCGGGGGCTCAGAGACGGGGGCACCGACACCATCCGTGACACCGTCGGGAAGCACTGGCAGCGCCTCGGGGTCCGTGGGGTCCGGAGGGGGGGTGGGATCTGCCCCCCAGGATCCCCCGGGCTCTGTGCTTGGCCCCCCCGGTTTAATGCTGAGCTTGGCAATGGTGGCCTGGATGGAGCTGATGGGAACATCCCCCCCCAGCACCAGGTCCTGGGGGTCCTGCTGGAAGTAGAGCTGGGGGAGAGCAGCCCCGTGAGTCCAGAGGTGACAGAGCCCTCCCCCACCCCCCGGTACTCCCCCCTGTACCCACCTTGGGCGAGGTGCTGTTGGGGGGCTTGGGCAGCACGGGAGTCCCCACGCCGTGGCGCAGCAGCACCTGCTCCACGTGCAACAGGACGGCCTCGAAACAGAACTTGAGGTGCAGCTGCAGGGGAGAGAGACACGGTGAGATCCCGAGGGCTGCAGCCCTGCCCCAGCCGCCGGGGCGCTGCAGCCCCTGCCCGGTACCTTCTCCTGCAGCATGTGCTTGCGCTGCTGCCGCATCCGCCTCACCAGCTGCGCCAGG